TCCTCCCATAAAGATTACTGCCTAGAAAACCCTATGTTGCAGTTCTCTTCTGTCTTATGGTGTCATTGTGAGTTTAAATCAACTTAAGACATGTAACAACAACATAATAACAATGCAACTCTAACAAGAGGGTTAAATGAGAAAGCCCATATAAGGGACTTTGTGCATGGTATTGTTAAAAAAAAAAAAAAAAAGCCTGTGCCCTCGAGGGAGTGGATAAAATTGTCAGGTTCTATAAACAGAAACTTACAGTTGGTAACCGCCAAACGGCAGAACCGATGAGTATCAACACACATCATGTGGTAGATTAAAGTGGTGGTTGTGACCTTTAGGGGCAAAACCTCTCTCTGTGGACTACTTCAATTTTTTTTTTTCCTAATGTGATAACATTGCTTTTTGAACCTAACAATTTTATGTTATAATTCTAAAAATAATAAATGCCCATTAAAAAGAATTTTCAAAATACAGAAAGGTTGAAAGAAGAAAGTAGAAATCCCCCTTAATTCTAGCATTTTGGTATATTTTCTTAAAACCTTTTTCTGTGTGATTGGGTTTCATTCATTTCTATCTTATCTGCAATTCCTTGTTTCTGGAATAGGGCATACACATGTGATGCATTTGAGACCCTCCTACTTCTCCTCAATCTATTTAGCCTCTGAAGAAAAGTACAATTGATGGATTTCCAGAATGTTCTGGAGCTTTTTCTCAGAATTAGTGCTATTTCTTGGAAGGCATACTTCAGTGCAACCTTATATTACTGCATCAAAGTTTATAAAGGCTCTTGGCATATGTATGGAGTCAGAGGAATAGTTGTTGGACACCATATCATTTTAGGATTTACTGTGTAAGACTGTGATATTTCATAGGTTAAATTAATCTTGCTAAAAATAAATAAAAAATTTAATGCTTTTCACAGCAACAATTTCCCATCTTTTGGGAGCTTTATACTCTTAGGATTTTTGTTGTAGTGTATATCTAGCTACAGTTTAAAAATACCACTTTTTAAAGAATTTTTATTGTGATTTTGGGGAAAGTTTACAGAGCAAATTCAATTTCCATACAGCAGCTCCCATACACTTGGTCTCATGATACTGAGTACAATGAACCACAGTGCAACAGCTCCCCTTCCATTTCTTCCTCAAAGTTACCTCTTCCCTGTGTCCTTCTTTCTCATGCATTCCTGCCCCCCAAGATGTCCCTGTGCATACACAGCCCTTCTATTCTCCCATGATTGATCTCTCCAAGGAGTATATCTACCTAATGTAAATATTCAGCTCATATGCCTGTCTTTTGTTTGGCTGGAAGCTACAGGAGTGGGTTCAATTCCAGATCTGAAGGGCATCTAGGGGCCATAGTCTCAGTGGTTACATCAGGTTCTATCAGACCAGCAAAACTGGTCCTTATTTATTTATTTATTTTTTGTTTTTATGATTTGTTTCTGCCAGCACCATTTGTTAAACAGACAATCTCCTCCCCATTTAATAGATTTTGGCCCTTTGTCAAAGATCAGCTGACCAAAAGTTGATGGATCTATTTCTAGATTCTCAATTATATTCCATTAGTCTATTTGTCTGTCATACCAATACCAGGCAGTTTTGATTACTGTGGCTGTATAGTAGGTTTTGAGATCTGGCAATGTGAGACCTCCTACTTTGTTCTTCTTCTTCAATAGTGCTTTACTTATCTGAGCTCTCTTTCCTTCCCATATAAAGTTAGTGATTGGTTTTTCCATATCCTTAAAGAATGTTGATGGAATCTGGATTGGGATTGCATTAATATAGATTGCTTTGGGTAGAACTGACATTAAAAATGTCACTTTGTTTTTTAACAATGCTTTTCTATTTTATTTGTCAAATATTCTCACAACAAAAGAAATGTCCTAGAAAATGGGAGTGAAAGTTCTCCTGTGATTTACTAGAATCTTTCAGATAATTCTTCACCTTCTAATCCAACCCAATGATTATTTCTGGAATACCTTTAAATATCTCTTAAAGGATATGCTGAATGAAGAAACTGTTCCCCTTAGTTGTGGCTATGGGATCGTTAACATTGAAACCAAACTACACTGCAAAATGATACAGGGAGAGGTGTCTTAATTAGCTGTAGCAAATGTCATGTGTCTGGACAAATAAATGGGTGTGTGACCCAGGCTTTGCCAGACCTGGGAAGAGGGGAGTGACTCCCTGCTCAAATGAGATCACCTCAGAGGCACATAAATACCTCACTTGTGCCTGAAGTAACTCCTGAAACTTGCCATGGTTCCACCTTCCTTTTCTTTTAGGCCGGAAATTCTCTCTATTTGACCAGTTGATTTAGATGAGCTGGCAAAAGCAGATGAACACAAGGAGTGGGATTGCAGATATGTAGGAAGAATGCCATAACCCAGACTGAAAAGCCGATCTTGATGTTTTCCAGATACACTGCAAGAATCCGGGCCAGCCCTTTGCTGTTGGTTAACTGTCAGTTTGGGGAGCTGAGAGCTTGGATCTGGAGGAAGGGCTTAGAGTTGGAGGAAGGGCTTAGAGCCTGTCCTGGGTTCTCAGGTGGGAGTGAGTTTAAAGGAGAGGGAGGGAACGGGCTCTTGGATGGGCAAGGCTAGGCAAGGACCCTCAGCAGTCTCTGTGCAGTCAAGCAGGAGGGCAATAGGCACTATTGCAGTGGCAAGCCCTGAGGCAGACTTTCTTCACTCAAGTGAGCTCAGGCAAGTGCCTCCTCATCCCATGCTAGCTGTTACCTGTCAGGCAACAGGAGTTATAGTAAAAATGCCTCAGGGGCAGGAAATCTTGCATACATGTGGTTTGAAATGAGAATATTTGCGTATTTGATCTCCTAGTTTTTATTCTTATCCTTAAAAATTCATTGGTATTTTAGAAAAGCCTATACATACTCCTAATTTTGATTTTAAAGCACTAACTTAGGACTTCAAAGGGTTCTTTGCGATTCACCTATGTGACTTCTGTGCTTGGTTAGTGGTTAATGTTATCCACAAGAGATAGTGTAAGATAGTATCCTATGGGAGCCTATGAATGGAATAATATACCTCCAACAAGATAACTTCATTCAGTTAACTATGATTGAGTTAGCCCTCCAATTCACATCATGGATATGATGTTAATAGAGTGAGGGAAAGATAATTTAGTTAATTTACATTTATTGTTTATTACACATCAGTACTTCATAGAGTCTCCCATTCCTTTTATTTTTTTACCTAATGGTCTCTCTTTCTCTATTTAAGTGTTGTTGTTATGTGCCATCAAGTCGGACCCAATTCATAGTGACCACTCCTTGGGTTTCCGAGGCAGTATCACTACTAGAAGTAGATAGCCCAACCTTCCTTCCGAGGAGTGGCTGGTGGGTTTGAACCGCCAGCCTTCTGGTTAGCAGTCAAGTGCCTTAGGCACTATGCTACCAGAGCTCCCATTTACGTGATATATTACGAAATTATTTTGAAGATGATTACTTGACAAATTGTAGTAGTTGCACTGCTACCATCTAGTGGGCAATTAATGTAATTAATCATCTTTTGGCTTGACAACTTTCAAACCATTATTCCAAAGAATTAGTTTTCTTGAAAGAACACTATGGTAGGAATTTTAACATATTATATTAGATATGAGGGAGCTCTGGTAGCATAGTGGCTAAGGCATTTGACTGCTAACCGGAAGGGTAGTGGTTCAAACCCACCAGCCCCTCCTCGGAAGGAAGGTTGGGCAATCCTATTTCCGTAGTGATACTGCCTCGGAAACCCAAGAAGGGGTCGCTATGAGTCGGGGCCGACTTGACGGCACATAACAACAACAACAACAACAATTAGATATGAAATCCTATTTTCCTTCAATTTACATATATAATAATTATTTAATATTTTATTTTATGATTTAAAAGAGATACACCCAAATTATGATCCAAATACATAGTATTCTATTTTGAATTTGAACTTTGCAAAATGCTCTCTAACATGAGCACTTTTCATTTTAATTTTGGAAAATCTTAAGTCATATGTTATGTACAAGTCATGGAGACACTTTTATCTCTTTAATCCTAGACCTAGTTGTTTCAGTCAGGGTCCCTGTGACTCTAGCCTTAACCTCCAATCTATTTTCTACACCCTCACTTATCTTGTGTTTTAATACATTTCTGATAATATTATTTACACATGTCTTCAATGACTTCCCACTGTTCTTGGACCAGTGTCCCGAATCTTTAACATGACTTCTAAGCTCTGCCCATGTGGTCCCCAGCTTCCTCTTCAGCTCCTACATGTAGTCTTCTTTCCTCAACTCTCTAAGTTGTATCCTGCTGGCTTTCCTCTTCTACCTTTGGATATCATGGGCTTTGCAAGACCCAATTCCCATTGTTCAGTTAATTTTGATTCATTCTTTCTAAGGAAGCCTTTTACCTCCCATGTCAAATAGATTGTCTCTTTATATTCTCTTATGTAGACTTTCCAGCACTTATTGGCTAAAGTAAGTTAAATCATGAATCGTTATATACTCAATTAAGTCATTAGCTAATTATTTAATGTTTGTCTTTCCCAATAGCTTATACATCCATTGAAGGTAGAAATGTTATCATTGCTTGGTCCTCAATTGCTCAGCAAAGTGCTTGGCATGCAGGAGACACCTCTTAAGATAGCTTGAGTGATCTGAGATGAAAGCTACGCCAAGATAGAGTCTTACACCTATATCATATTTTACAAATGTAAAATTTCCCTTATATTTCTTCTTACTCATAAGCCTCCTACAATAATCTGTGTTTCTCTGCCCTCAGTTGGTATTGACCAGCGTTCACTCTTCTCTGGCTGGCCGCATCATCAACTCGTGCATGCATATGTCTTCATTTTTCCACACCATTCCCCCTGCTCCCAACTCAGACAGTCTGTCAGCTTTTCTAATTATAAATGACTCATTTTTACTCTGTTCAATATTAAAAGATAAAAGGAGTTTAATAGATCCAGAAGCTTACAAGAAAGGTTGGGGTCTGGAAAATATCCAGGAATTCAGGATAGAAAAAGAATGAAAAATGAGCGTTTTGAGCCAGGCTCTCGTTGGCCTCTCATATTCTAGACTAGTACAGATGTTCAAGGACGTAAAGGGCAATGTGCTTGATGGCTAGCAACGTTTCCTCACAGGTTGCCTGGATCTGGGATTCTGGGAGGAGAAAGCCATATCTGCCTTTATCCCGGAGTTCAAAGGTGAAGGAGTATTTGATTCCTTGGTCATAAGCCCAGTCATCAGAACCCCCAGCAGCAGGATCTGAAATGTGAACACAAGCAGGAAAAAAAAAAAAAAAAGTTTGACTCTAAGAAGAAGATTTACAAAAAAGGAGATTGTAAATGCTAAGATTTTACTATGTAAAATATTGTAGGTAGGCCAGTTTTCTAGTTAACAGGATCATAAAGGATATGGGGACGGTTTGAAAAAATTTGGTCTTATCTCACCCCTAAGCTTACTTTGTAGGAATGATGTGTTTAATACCTCAGAAAATATGTAATTTGTAGTAAAATATACACTTCTCAGTGTGTGGTGTGTATATTATGGTTGTTGTTGTTGTTCTGTGTTCTTGAGTTGGACCCGTCTCATAGCGACCCCTCCTTGGGTTTCCAAGGCAGAATCACTATGGAAGTAGATTGCCCCATCCTCCTTCTGAGAAGTGGCTGGTGGGTTTGAACTGCCAGCCTTCTGGTTAGCAGTCAAGTGCCTACTGTGTTATATAGTATGTAACTTATTTATAAAAATTAATTTCTGGAAAAGGAGTATCTTCTAGGAAAATAAGGAAAGCTGTTTGCTGAATGAGTGAGAGGTGAGGCTCCAAGCCTACTGAAGCTGCTCAGTGATGAAACGCGGGCAGCTTGAGGCCAGGATGCACCTTTGTTTTTGTATAGCATAGAGCCTAGAATAGTCTGTTGTTGTTATGTGCCGTCAAGTTGGACCCAACTCATAGTGAC